TATATAAGACATGTATATTACGTTTCTATATTTCATCTACATTTTTGGATGTCTCTGGAGTTCTTTTCACTAACTGGCCATTTTGAACAGACCATAGATTATTCATTCTCCTCCATGAAATTTGTTTCCAATGATACTCTACTACAAATGATATTATTGTGATTATTCTTGTACCTATCTCTTGGAAACAACTTATATTTTACCATTATATCTAGATCTGAGAGAAAGGATTGCACAGTACTAGAAGATGCTGTATTCTTTAATAGCTGTTTGGTTGAAATGAGAGTGTGAGCTGTCTCCTTTGGGGAGGCAGGGAGGCTGTTCTACACATGGGACAAAAATTTTAATAGACACTTGGTGACCGGAAAAGTTAACTGGGCTTAAGACTGGTTCACTGTTCCCAAATTCATTTTCTCTTCCTTCTGATATCGAAATAGGCATATTTCAGTCTATTTTAGAATTACAAGTGCCCACCTGACTGAGTTCTGGTTAAAGGAAGTAGTATGTAATATTTTTAGGACTGTTCCATAAAATAGCCCATATAAGAGTCTGTTTCTCCTCCGCTTTCCTCAGTCACCTTGAAACCCACATGTTGGAAAGTAATAGAATCCTAAAATGGAAGAAGAAAGTGAAAGTGTTAGTCATTCAGTTGTGTCTGACTCTTTGTGACCCCACAAACCGTAACCCACCAGGCTCCTCTGTCCACAGAGTTCTCCAAGCAAGCATACTGGAGTAGGTTGCCATTTCCTACTCCAGGGGATCCTCCTAACCCAGAGAACAGGACTTGGGTCTTCAAACCTACAGCTTGGAAGAAACACTCCCTACAGACCGGTGTTACCCATTTTGACATTACATGGGAAAGAAAGAAACTTCTATTATGTTTAAGGCATTGTACATATCTGGGTTTCTCTGTTATAGCATGTAGCATAACCTAAACTATATACTATTTATGAATCTGTTTCCCTTCTCTTTAAATTAAGATAGCAATAACCACCCAGATGCTGGGAGGGATTGGGGGCAGGAGGAGAAGGGGATGACAGAGCATGAGATGGCTGGATGGTATCACCGACTGGATGGGCATGAGTTTGAGTAAAATCCGGGAGTTGGTGATGGACAGGGAGGCCTGGCATGCTGCGATTCATGGGGTCACAAAGAGTCGGACATGGCTGAGCGACTGAGCTGAACTGAACTGAAAGTTATGTCAGATCACATGGGAAGTGTCTAGTATAATACTCAGCATGAAGAAGTGAAATGAAAGTCACTCAGTTGTATCCAACTTTGTGACCCCATGAACTGTAGCCCGCCTGACTGTAGCCTGCATTATAGGTAGATTCTTTACTGTCTGAGCCACTGACAGTACTAAGTCCCAATACTCAACATAGTAATGCACAGTATTTTTTTTTTAATTTTAAGAGTTTTTGAGCAGGGGAGAGGCATTAGACTTCTTTCTAGCTAATTCTTCGCATTCAAGGAGTATATAAAAGATGATTATATATTTTGTGGGGGAGAGACTTCCCAGGTGGCACTCATAGTAAAGAATCTGCCTACCAATGCAGGAGACACAAGGGACACGGGTTCAATCCCTTGGTCGGAAGATCCCCTGGAGTAGGAATGGCAACCCTTCTTGCCTGGAAAATTCCATGGACAGAGTAGCCTCGTAGGCAATAGTCCATGAAGTTGCAAAGAGCTGAGTACAACTGAGCACACACAGAAAATTTTTTTTTTTACATTTTTATATTCTGGGACTGTGAACATAAAATTGTGCTATAACTAAAAAGAAAATGTCATTTTCACCAAAGCTTTCCATTTTCCCTCTGAAAGCACTCAATATTAAATGGGAAAAAAAAAAAAAGAAAACATTTTGATGAGTAGTCTCCATATGCAACAAGTATAGAGAAGTCATTTCCTTAACCCCCAGTGACATAATTAAGAGAAAAGAAAAAAAAGATAATCATGTTCTGGTTCTTCTTCTACCCTGAACATTCTGGAGCCTTACACTGGTGAACAGTGTAAGGCTGTTCACTCCACATGCTTTTGTGACCTTGAACCAAGAGGAGTTACATCAGTGATCAAAGGAACAAGGAGGATTCTCAGATAAATATTAGCTTCACACAAAAAATGTTCCAATGTCGCCCTAATCTACAGCCAACATTTTTTCACTCTTGGCATAAATATTACTGAATTGTGTAAGTCAGGAAATATTTAATGACCAAGAGTTTCAAGCCAAGCCATAGTTCTGTCTTCCTCTGTGTTTTTGTGCCCTGATTGCCTTGGTTGTCTTTTCCCCCTCTTTTGTCTCACACAAAGACATAACTTCTATTATTCGCACTATGTAATAAAATTTTATCACTAATGACTATCAGTACTTAGAGTATCAGTGGAGCATAGATTTTGATCAAAGGGCATGTGGTATTTTAGTGAACAGTTTATCCTGAAATAGCCTTGTGGTTGGTTGAAATATTACAGGTTGTTCGGTAAGAACTTTCCCTCTTTAATTAGTTGTGTTATCTGTGCTTGATATTACAGAGTGTTCTTGGGGGTTCAGCCTTGGAGATTTCACTTTATACTTGGCATGAGCACAGTTTCCAGGTTGAAGATCACAGAAAGGCATTATCGCTTCAAGGTCACCTCAATTATACTTTGTTCTGCTGTATCAAATCTTAGCATTTTCCTTTACCACGAATTTATTTCTCATGGGGTTACTTTCCTCTGATTTATCTTAACATTTGCAAAATCTCCCTTTCTTCTCTCCAAATGACACTATATCTGTTCAAGCATCTATCCAAAAAGTGTTCTTCCCAACCACCCCCCCCCCCCCCCCCCCCCCCCCCCCCCCCCCCCCCCCNTTCTCATCATTTGGAATATGTTCTCACCATCACTTAATACACACATTGCATTCTTTGTCTGTTTCCTTGAAAACACTCTAAAATCCATCCAGATCTCAAAATCTGAGTGCATATTCATTTTTCAACTTTTTTCTACCACCGGCCTAACAGGTTAGCAAACCTTGGCTATCATCTATTTCTTGAAAAGGTCCTTGAGAAAGACATTCTGGGGTTGTAAAACTAGGATGAGACTGGGAGACTATCTACATTTCAAAGAAAAAGAATTTATATTGCACGTTTTCTCAAGTAAATGCTTTAAGAAAAGGGGGACTGGGGGCCTATTGCCAGGAAGACACTTATTTACAGTTTAGCCAAGGTGAGAACACTGAGGTTATGTTAATCAAGAGCGTTTGTGCAGGAATAACATGTCCTCTCTGTTTGCTATGCCAAAAGTAAATCTCACATCATATGCTTTCTGTCTTTTAAAAGTGAAAGTGAAGTCGCTCAGTCTGTCTTTGCGACCCCATGGACTGTCCTACTAGGCTCCTCCATCCATGGAATTTTCCAGGCGAGAGTACTGGAGTGGGTTGCCATTTCCTTCTCCAAGGGATCTTCCCGACTCAGTGATTAACCCCAGGTCTCCGCCATTGCAAGCAGACGCTTTTACTGTCTGATCACCGTAGCACCTGTCTCTTGGGGGCCTCTAAATAATGTCCTCAGATGAGGAGTGTTTGCAGGCTCTGAACAGTTTGGTGCATTACTAGAAGGAAAAGGACACTTACCCCATTATTTTTCTCTCAGCGGCCTAATAGTGCTCATATATGAAATTATTCACTAGCAAATCCTTTACTAAATTCATAAATGCCTTTGGTAAAAATAAGATGCAAGAGATTTCTGTTTTTTATCTTGCAACTTTACAAAACTTATTGATGAGCTCTAGTAGTTTTCTGGTAACATCTTTAGGATTTCCTATGTATAGTATTGTGTCATCGGCATAAAATAAGTTTGACTTCTTTTCCATCTTGGATTCCTTTTCTTTTTCTTTTTTCTCTGATTGCTATGGCTAGGATTTCCAGAACTATGTTGATACAGTTGATTTCTTAGTTTGTATTTGCTATTTTCCTCTTGCTTCTTTCCCATAAGGTATTTGGAAAAATTGAAAATTCATTTTTATGATGCTTAAAAAAATAAAAATCATTTAAAAATAACGGAAAACTTAATTGGGGAGATTTTACTCCCAAAAAGATTAGTATCAGGATCCAAAGGAAGTAATTCATTCCCTTTATTTCTCAATCAGTAGAGAGCAAATGCATCTTATGCATTTTAATATCCAAGGGATGGTTTTTAATAAACCTAAATATTATGGACCCCAAATCACTAACTCCAGTAATAACTTACTTCTCTATAATTTAAAAAGGAGAATTAGAAAGTTAAGAGAAAAATGAAGCACAATAAAATAAGCTTATTAATGCATTCAATGTACTAGTTTTTGCCTTAATTCCTGTCATCTAGGCTTTTCTTACTAGATCCACAAAATCCATAGCCTAGAAATGTTGTGATATACAATCTTTAATGTTGAACTTTGTGCTACAGGGATAATATACTCAGAAGACAAACAAGAACTATTTTCATATAACTGTAATGGCATTTTTCCTACTGATTTGTCATGTATTTTTCATGTATTTTGAAAAATAATTTGAAGTTCTCAAGGCGGTAATAAGATCTTCTTATTTATTTTCCTAAATATCTAAAATTTCTACAAGATGGTCATAGATTCCCAGTCAATGAACCAAACATACCTAAATTATCCAGTTGTCTATGATTTAAAATTCTTTGCACATTTGTAAAACAAAAGCAATTTAAATATTATGTATCCTCATGTCCAAATAATAAGTGTTGAAAGGAGTCATCTAATTCTACCTTGTGACATAGATTTTGTAGAATGTGTTAACATATTGGACTTTAAGAGTGAAAGAATGAAATAATGCTTTTCTGGTCAAAAAGGTAAGTAGTTTCCATATTCTCCATGGGACTAGACTTTGGGTTACAAAGAATCCTAAGTGAATCAGCTGTTCTGTTATAATTTTTCTGGTTTTTTTCCTCCAGATTTAATAAAAGAAATATCCAAGATAAATTTCTAATTGGTTTTGATCCTTGAAGGAAGGTAATGATATTGCACATTTGTAACATCTTTGGAAAGGAATAAAACAGAAAATCAATGAGAGAGCTTTCTCGTCTGCTCTTATGTTTATTTGAGTTCTGATAACAGAGAAAGTACCAAAAACTTATTTTAATAGAGTTTGATTTTGAATTTTAGTGACTCAGCTAGTATTTATCCTCATTCACAGCAATCAAATACTTTTATCTTCTCACATATATGCTATAGCAACTAGAGCAGTAATAGGCACATGGTAGGTGTTTGATTAATTTTTGTTGAATCAGTCATTCTTACATAGATTTATGCCTAAATGATATTAATCTATGTCAGATGTTAATCCTCAATCATGTGCTTCCAAGCAAGTTCTTAGCTTTCAAAAATAGTTCTTCATTTTTTATAATTCATGTTTTATAGAGTGAAGAAACTGGTTGCAGAAGGAAACAATTCTTAGACATAACTCATTATTACTTTTTCAGGGAGCTTTACTGAGATGCTAAATATCTACACATATTTTAATAGCAAAAGCCTCTGTTTCTATAAAACAAGGGTGACTAATGCTGACCAGAACTCTTTTCTACACTGATTCTTAATGCCCTTCTCGGGTGTGGTAAGATAGAATCAATAGACCATTGCTCCTAACCTTAACTTTTGGGAGCTAGGGAACAATTTCAGCTGCTCTTCTTCAATATCTACTTTAAAAAACCATGGAAAACTTGTGGATGAGTTCAGAAATAACTTCAAGCTACATAGAAAAAAAGAGAGAGAGAAACGCAATCTCACTTTTTAACCTCACCTGTTTACACATTGAAATTTATAAATCCTGCTTAAGGAGACTGGCTTTCCTACAGGGTACAAATAATTTCCAAACACATCATTATGCTGTCATTATTTATGTTCATATATATTTTAAATAAAATGATATGTATCATGAAGTCACCTGGGCACTCTGGTATTCAATGCATTTATGTACAAAAAATTAAATTTTCTCAGTGACAATTTCAGTCTAAAATTCTGTTCTCAATTTCCCATTATATTGAAATTCATTTTTTACCTTTCTGACATTAAAATAGTATATGTGATTTACAAAACATACTTTGGAATGTCACATGATTACTGCAGTTTTATTTCCAACCTTGGTCACACAGCAATTTATGCCCATAATCTTGTAATTGTTAAAAGTTTCTTGAAAGTGATCTCAAAAGGAATTGGCATAATAGATTGCATTTTTGTGTGGCAAAGCATCAGCTTTTTTCTACCAGCAGTATCTTTGAACATCATACTATTCAACCAAGCATAGAAATGTTCTTACTTTTAACAAGCCTCGATAATCAAAGATTCTTTTCTTTCTTCTTTCAACAACACCTGAGTTAAGACAGAAGATCTGTGGACGGTTTTCTCCTAAGAAATAATTTGCAATGAAGATCCTTCTCTTTTTCTCTATTTCATTCTTCTCTGATGTCTTCATTCCACCAGGTAAAATGAATATTATTGCCAGGAGGAGTCAGCTTTAAATAAGGGGGATATTAGGATTTTTTAAGTAAATATCATTAATGTTATAGAATCATATTAATACCATAGCAGGATGACATTATATTTATTTGCAGCCCCTAATAAGAAAATATTTGGATAATTTTAAAGACATGAACTAATAAAGACTGTAATTCACTAAGTTTGTAAATTGTTGAAAGAAAATACTTACTGTGATTTCATCAGTCCCTGAAGAGTGTATTTATTCACTATTTAAATTCTACTAAACTTAATATATGCTAATATACTTTTAAAACTTGAAATGGAATGAATTTAGGTTTGGAAATTGTTCATCCCACATTTTTATAGTATTGATAACAGAGGTTATGTGAAATTTAATGACAAAGGTGTGTATAGACAAAATTATGGTTTTTCCAGTAGTCAGGAACAGATATGAAAGTTGGAGCTTAGAGAAGGCTGTGTGCCAAAGAATTGATGCTTTCAAATTGTGGGGCTGGAGAAGACTCTTGAGAGTCTTGGACTACAAGGCAATCACCAATCAATCCAAAAGGAAATCAACCCTGAATATTCATTGGATGGACTGATGCTGAAGCCGAAGTTCCAATACCTTGGCCACCTGATACGAGGAACCAATTCATTGGATAAGACCCTGATGCTGGAAAAGATTGAAGGCAAAAGGACAAAGGGGCAGCAGAGGATGATATGGTTAGATAGAATCACTGACTCAATGGACATGAATTTTAGCAAACTACAGAGCAGCCTAATGTGCAGCAGTCCATGGGATCGCAAAGAGTCAGACACGACTTAGTGACTGAACAACAGCAAATAGCATTTATTATATTCATAAACGAGACTAGCTGCATGTCTACACTCTTCCTGTTGAATTCTTCTTCCTTATCTTGATGCTTTCCCTGAAACACCAAGACATCTGTCGCTATTGATATCAGAGATGATCACCAAAAAATAAATCTGAAGTATCCTATTCTCTCATTGCTACTCTGCTTTAATGCTCAAAACTAAATGTTAGCTTACAATTTCTTCACAAAAGTGGAAAAGTAAATAAGCTTGAAAATAGAACCCATGTAACTCAAAGATTGCAATTAATGACTAATTTTTTCCTTCATCAACTTCATAAAAACTTATTAGAATATGCTCACCTAAATTCCCTCTATTTCTAGAAATTTTCTATGATATTATGTATATTATATAAATTTCAATATGCACTGATGCTTTCTCTTGTTAATAATAATGATTGTAATAGCTACCATCTGTTCTGCCTTTTGGCCACATTAATTTATCTGTTCTGCTTTTTGTCTACATTATTTATTTCTCCTTATGATAGCCATGTAAGGTATCTTAGGAATAACCAAATCTTTCATTTACTGAGAAATATGTACTACTGATTTATCATTTTCTAAAACCTCTTATAGTATATAGGACCATGAAATAAAGATAAGTACATTAATGTCTTCACTTTGGAAAATTATTTTTTAACTTCTGAAATTTTTTCTTTTACAGTGAGCTCTAGGTCTGTTGGAAATTCTTTGACACCAACAAAAGTCCCATGTCTACAGAAGCTTGAGAAACTATACTCAGAGACGCGTAATTCCTCCACAATATTTGAAAATGCACAGTATCGTACAAAGGAAAAACAGAAAGGTAAAATAAAACAAATAGAATTATATCTTGCATATTTTAATTACTATCTGTCAAACAGAATGAAGGAACTATCCTAAGGATGCTTTTAGCCCATTTACTCTTCTTGTCTTTTGTCTTCTAGGCTTATGAGGGCTGAATTTCTTGGTTTGGTTTTTTATTGTTTGTTTGTTTGTTTGATCATGCCATGCAGCATGTGGGATCTAAGTTCCCTGACCAGGGATTGAATCTGCGCCCCCTACGTCAGAAGTGCAGAGTCTTAACCACTAGACCACCAGGGAAGTCCCTGAATTTCATGTTTAACGTGGAAAAGAAGCTCCTATTTTAAGTCATAGGGTCTTATTTTTGATGAAACTCTTTCTAGACAAATGTCCTCAGTATTTCCAGGAGGGAAAATTCTCCAATCATTGCCTCCAAATTTCTGCTTTTTAAAGTGTTGTTATTACCATTAAGCTTAAGAGTAAGACTTGTCTCAGTTTTTCTTTTATCTGACAACCAGCAGATTTTATTTTTGTTAATCACTGCTGCCCACCATTTGTAACTCTGATAACCTTGGTCTGATAACCTCATGCATAAAAGATATAGTTATATAGAAAGAGTAATTAAGGTGTTCTAATGAATGCCATGAAAGGTATAATTAATATAATTTGAAGAGGCAGCTGAGCAAGAAAAGTCCAGACTGGGTGCTGAAGGACGGTTTAAAAAATGTTTTTTTCTGTTTTAATCTTTATCTCAATCATGATTTAGGTTATTATTCAGCAAAATACCTTCTAAAGCTAGAATGATATGAACACCATGTGAGTGAGAAGATAAATTTCTGTGGGAGGGTAAACAAAGAGAGTTACTTTGTGACATTATTCAGAGAAAGACTTAGAGATAAGGTCTTTGGTCAAGTTTACTCACACATGGGTCTCTCTTTTTTTTGACAGAGTGTCATTGCTAAAGCCTACCATAGTGCTCAATATATAGTAGGAGCTCAGTAAAGATTTATTGAATCAATCAATAAATGAATAGATAAATAAGTGGATAGAGGGAGAGAGAAGAACCAAAGAAATAGTCTTCAGAAATTCAGGCATCAAGATGGCAGAGTAGGAGGAAGGGGAACTTATGTCCCCCCAAGAAAAAAAAAAAAAATGCTATCTACATGTGGGACAACCCTCAGTGAAAAATAACTGGAGACTGGCAGAAGGCCTCCTGTATAAGCAAGGCTGAGAGAAAGATATACATGGATTCGGACAGGAAAGGACGAGAAGTGATGAGTGCCCCTGGGAGGGGTTTCCAAAGAAAAGGGAGATTACACAGGAGGAGATTTACCCTGGGGAGGAAGCATTTCAAACCCCTTATTGGGTGCTCCAGCCCTAAGTTTCTGCAGAAGGAAAACAAGCCTCCTTGGCTGTTTTGGGGCTGCTGGGACTAACAGAAAGACCATGGAAAGGCTGGACTTCACTCATGAGAATCCCTTGCACATACTGACTTGCCCGGGAGCCAGAGTGGGAGGGTGGATTGAGAACTATTCCAGTGGCTGCCTGGCTTCCCATGACCATTCTGGCATACATCCCAGCCTGAGATGAGTGAACACCCCAGCTCCACTGATTCCACATCACAGCGGTGCACTAGTCCTAGGGCTGCCACAGCTGGGCAGAGAGCTGGGCCATGGGGTAGGAGGTGACTTGCGCCCTTCGCAGCTGGGTGGGGTGAGGGCAGCCCTTCTTGGTGAGTACTCTGGCAGTGCATTAGGAGCGACTTGGAACTTGGATGGCCGCCAGTCCACCACAGCCTGCGCCCTGATACATTCTGAGAGCCAGTGCAAGCCCCGCCTGCCCTGTGGGTTCACAACAGGGTGGGGCTAGGGGAGCTTGGGGGAGTGATTGTCTGTGAGGGACAACGAGGACTTGGACCCAAGGCTGCATCTGAGCAAGGCAGGGGCAATAGTTTCTGGCACGTGCATAGGTGGTGCTTGGAGGCAGCTTGGATACCCGTCTGTAGCCTCTGCTGCAGCCTGCGTCCCATCATGAGCCAAGAGCAAGCATGAGCCCCTCTTGCTTCAGCACTCCCTACTCTAGGGCAAGAATCTCAGTGCTGGGAGAGCAGAGAGCACATCTTTAAAGGAAATGGAGCCAGCTCAGACCTGACCCTCAGCAACTAGAGAGCCAACCTTACCCTTGATTGGGCAACAAATACCACTCAGGAGAGGAAAAACCCTGCCTCACACCTGCCTTCAGCTCTGCTCCTTCCATCTCCAGCCCCGCTACCTGCCAAGGTGGTAGCTACCATCACACACTGAGAAAACATTTGATTTGTACCTATATCAAATTTACCTCTTCAAGCAAAGGACTGGGCACATGTAAACTGAATAGGGATCCTCCCATATAAGGACACCCCTTCAAGACCACTGCAGGTAACTGTTTCACCTAAATTCATAGAGAAAGTTAAGCAAAATGAGAAAGCAGAGGAACTGGTCTCAATTGAAAGAGCAAGAGAAAATGTGTGAAAAATTAATCATGAAATAGAAATAAATAATTTACCAGGTAAAGGATTGAAAACATTAGTAGTAAGAATGCTAACTAAATTAAGAAAAAGAATAGATGGCAAGAGAACATAGTGAAAGATTTAACAAGGAACTAGAAAATATACAAAAGACCTGATTGTGAATGAATAATTTAATCATTGAAATTAAAAAAAACACTAGAAAGAATAAATAGCTGATTAAATGATACAGAAGAATGCATAAGTGATCTGCAAGGTAGAATAATGGAAATCACTCAATCAGAGACTTTTGCTAAAAGAAAAGCACACTTTAAAAATATGAAAACTGTTCAAGGTATCTTTGGTATAACATCAAGCATACCAACATTCACATTATAGGGATCCCGGAAGGAGAAGAGAGAGAAAAGGAGATTGAAAATGCATTTGATGAAATTACAGTTAAAAACCTCCCAAACTTAAAGAAGAAAACAGATAACTAAGTAGAGAAAGCACAGAGTCCCAAACAAGATGATCCCAAATAGACGCATTCTAACACATATCATTATTAAATGGCAAAAATTAAATAGAGAAATCAAGTTCCTCCTCCTTGTGAGGACACAGCAAGAAAAATGGCCATTTATGAACCAGGAAGTGAATTCCTCACCAGATACCAAATCTACTGGTGCCTTCACCTTAAACTTACAGCCTCCAAAACAGGGAGAAATAAATGTCCATTGTTTATAAACAAACAAAAAAATTCTAAAGGCAGCAAGAAAAAGACAGAGTCATTCATAAAGGAACTCTCACAAGGCTTTCAGCTTATTTTTCTGCAGAAACTTTGCAAATGGAAGGGAGTAGCATGATATATTTAAAGAACTGAAAGGGAAAAACTTGCTATCTATGGTACTCTGTCCAGCAAGATGGTTATTTAGAACCGAATAAAAGGTAAAGAACTTCTCAGAAAAGAAAATATTAAAAAAGTTCAACAATACTAAAACTACCCTAAATTTCTTCTCTAAGTAGAAAGAAGTAAGAATCTATAGAAAAAGGAAAATACCACTAAGAAAGACAAATGTATAGTTAGGGCTGAGGACCAACCACTTCCATATGCTAGTGTGAAGATTTAAAGACATAAAAATTGCAGAAGCCACCATAATTGAAATGAACAGCTATAGGACAAACATGAAGATGTAAAATGACACTGAAAATATAAAATATGGGAAATGAGCATGATCACTCATAATCATGTATGTACCCAGCATAGGACTACCTAAATGTACAAAGCAAATATTAACTGATGTAAAGGGAGAAATTGACAATTACACAATAATAGTAGGGGCCTTTACATCCCACTTACATCAATAGATCATCGAGACAGAAAATTAATAAGGCAATAGTGGTCTTAAATGACACAATAGAATAGTTGGACTTAATAGATACTTATAGGCCATTCTAGCCATTCTAGCCCCATCAGCAGACTACGCATTCTTTGTATGTGCATATGGAACATTCTCCAGGATAAATTTTACACCAAGCCACACAACAAGTCTCAACAAATTTAAAAGGATAGAAATTATATCAAACATTTTTTCTATCACATAATATAAAACTAGAAATCAATTACAGAAAGAAAAATAGGAAAAAATGAAACATGTGGATACTAAAAAATATAGTACTAAAAAAACCAATGGGTCAATGAAAAAATTTTAAAAATCAGAAAATACCTTGAGATAAATGAAAATGCCAACGCAATTTTTAAAAACCTATGGGATGCAGCAAAAGCATTTCTAAGAGAGAAAGTCATAGCAATGTAGGCCTTTCTCAGAAAACAAGAAAATCTCAAATAACCTAACATACCATTTAAGAGAATTTAAAAAAGAAAAACAAACTAAGCTCTAAGTCAACAGAAAGGACATAATAAAGATCAGAGAAGAAGTGAATAACACAGAGACAAAAAAATAAATAAATAAATAGAAAAGATTAAAGAGACAGAACTGTTTTTTGGGAAAGATAAACCTTTAGTCAGGCTTACCAAGAAGAAAACAGAAAAGACCTAAACAGACAAAATAAGAACTAAAAGAAACAACATTATCAATCAACTGTTGTTATTGTTGTTCTGTCACTTAGTCATGTCCCACTCTTTGGCACCCCATGGACTGTAGCACGCCAGATCTCCCTGTCCTTCACTATCTCCCAGAGCTTACTCAAACTCCTGGCCATTGAGTCAGTGATATCAATCAATACCACAGAGATACAAAAAGTCATAAGACCATATTATGAGCAGTTATATTTCAACAAATTAGACTACTAGAAGAAATGGACAGATTTCTAGACAACGTGCCAAGACTAAATCAAGAATAAACAATTTGAACAGGCTGATTACTAATATCACATCAAAAATGATAAAAATACCTAGGAATTAAATTAATCAAAGCAGTCATAGACCTATAATCTGAAAATTATAAAACATTGATGAAGGAAATTGAAATGATACAAAATAATGGAAAGATAACCCGTGTTATTGAACTGGAAGAAATAATATTGCAAAAATGGTGACAATATCTAAAGCAATCTAGAGATTGGTTGGACCACTCATATTTAGTGGCTCTAGAGGACAAAGGCATTAGTAAATTGCAGGCTTTCCATGTATCCCTTATTGAGTCAATACCTAATCAATCAAAATTTGTAGAGATGTGACATCTATATTAGAAATCAGATATTTTCTGATTTACTTGACTTGCTCTGAAAAAGGGAAGAAAATTTCCAATGAAAAAATGAGAAAATTTCTTTTTCTCCCCTCTGTGACCTGTGCTGCTTCTTTTAAATACATATATTTCTTACCTGGATAATTAATTCCATTCACCCTTTTTTTTTGTTTTCAGCTGAAAGTAAAGAGCACCACTCTATCTTTAATCTGACACGTGCATGTATAATGTTTGGTGGTCACTGTAGAAATAAATGTGGTGGAAATGAATTCAGGATGGTATATTGTGATGTGTCTACATCGCTTTGCTGCATTAGACAATGTAAGCCTAAGAAGTATAAATAATTGAAGAGACCTATTCACAGAAAGAGGATCAACATGAAGTGTCTTCTCACTACTTCATTACATCTATTACTTCATTCACAGCCTCGTGTTTCTGTTCATAAATCTCTAATAAATAAAGGACTAAATAAAATACATTTCAACCTGAACCCTTCATGAACATTGTGCCTACTAGGAGGAAAGAGTCAAGAGTACAGAATAGAGCTCTGAACTTGGGAATAGCAATAGAATGAGAAAATTCCATCTTTGGACTACTGTGTTAAACGAAATTCTGGGGACAATTCTGTTTAATGTGAAAAGCATGGTGTCAATGATTCATGATGTATATCAAGCATTCTTTTAGAAGAGACAAGAGTGGAGAGAAAGTTTATGAGAGATGGAAGGTATGTGTTATCCCTGGAACTAGTGAAAATGGTTGCAAGAGCTTTGAAATGTGAAGTCATTGTAACTTTCTTAGCTACACTTTCCCTCTGTTTATTGATAGAATTCTAAAAATAAAAATAATTCAAGTAACATAGCTTGTCTTTTGAGAAAAAATAACTCCAAATGGTAGTATAGAAGGGAACTATTTGAATGAAGAAAGAGAAAATAAATCTCTGAAGCTTATGGTAATAATAACTTTGAAGTGTTATAATTGCAACTTTTTGTTTTGTGTTGTGTTTTTAAGATATTTTCTCACATCACATAATTCTATCAGCTTGTTATCAGCATCTCTAATCTTAATATTTTCCTTGTATGTACATAATTCTTGGAAAAAACAATAGAATACATGTATATATGCATACCTATATGATAAGGCAAAGCTAAGCTCAAGAATCTGTTGACTGAAGGATGGCTTTGAAGGGAAAAGGTTAGCAGCAGTCTTACTGCATAATCTAGCATAAAGGTTTGCCCTTATTGAAGCTTCTAGCAAAATCTAAGAATATTATCATGGCTGTGTGCTTGGCTGGCAGTCTTGATTATAACACAACTTCTAAGGTATGAACTAAAGCTCTCTATGAACCAGAAAGCAGGCTCTCACCAGATACCGTATCTGCCAGCATCTTGATCTTGAACTTCCCAGACTCCAGAACTGTGAGGAATAAATTTCTGTTGTTTGTAAGGCAAAAAGTATTAATCAATTAATATTAATTAAAATACTATGGCTGTCAAAGGAGAAGATAATCCCTTTTTACAACATTTTTCTCGGGGTATAATTGATTTATAATGTTGTGTTAGTTTTAGGTGTACAGTAAAGTGAATCTGTTTCATATATATATATATATATATATATATATGCTGCTAAGTCGCTTCAGTCATGTCCAACTCTGTGTGACCCCATAAATGGCAGCCCACCAGGCTCCTCTGTCCATGGGATTTTCCAGGCAAGAGTACTGGAGTGGGTTGCCATTGCCTATATATATATACACATACATATACCCACTCTTTTTAGATTTTTTTCTTGTATAGGCCATTACAGAGTATTGAATACAGTTCCCCATGCTATACAGGAGGTCCTTATTAGTCATCTATTTCATATATAGTAGTGTGTATATGTAATCACTTTTTTAAAAAGTATTCAGGAAGGTATTACATAGGATGGATGAGATTTGGTACTGAACAAATTCCATGAAGGCAGAAAGCATCTATTTTGTTCCCTGATCTCTGATAGAGGCCAGCAGAGTATGCGACATATAGTAAATGCTCAATTAAATATTAACTGAATGATTGGATGTATAGTGACTAGAACAAAAGATCAAAACTAAATAATTAGGAATTCTTAATTTATGGAGCAGGAAAAGGAAAAGGTATAAGGTAAGGAATCTTCAGAGAATTTATACAGGCAAATAGTAAAAACTAACAGAAGATGAGGCCTTCTTTGATAAGGTAAGCATAGCTCAAGTTTCTCATTTTGAGAAGATTCCAAGTGTGTCTGATTATATGATCTCCTGAGAATTAACCTATCGGATAAATAATAATAGTTAAGAGTCAAATAAGAACATGCAGGGAAACTATTTATCTATGATTTTATTTCTTTACATTCTGTTATATCTGCCTCATTTGAAGTTTAGTGAAGAAAAGTCAATTAACAATAGAGATAGGACATATCTCATGCCTCCATGTCTAGTGGCAATTTTAGTTTTGAGGTTACATAGCAATCATTACCATTAATAACTATCTCTTAGCTATTAGAAATGGTGGCAAAACACCTAGGTGGACAGGCCTGGCTTTACAAGAATCAGAATGTTCAAGCACATATGATAATGATAAAACTCACTTATTTAGTGTAATCCATATGAAAAGGTTTGAATCCACCTTTAGTTAGTGGCCTGAAAATCTTGGAATTCCTATGCAACCACCTTCCTCAATGTTACTGTTGAAATAATTTACTAGACATGCATGCCATTATATGGACTATTAATAAAGCAAGTTGTATTCATGACTTTTAACTTTTTATTCCCGATTGATGTGGAAATGAAAATTCATATTATTATGAATTTACTATATTAGAATTTACTATAATTCTTTGTGCTACAACTAGTATTAAATCTTTTATAAGATTACTAGTTGTAAGGTTGCAGAGAAAAATGCAATCTTTTGAAAAATTCCTCTTTGTAGTCTGTGCCTATTGTTGTAAAGCTACTTGTCTCTTTGGGTTTTGTGTGGGGATTTTTTTTTTTTTTTGCAGAAATGTCTTTAATAATAGTCTTCAATTTACTTAAAACTTTAAAGCTTAAAGCTTTATGTCCTAATTGTGTTTTCAATCATTTTCTATTACCAATTTTTTAAAAAAAAATATGTGCCCATTCATTTGGATTCTATATATCCAAGCATTTCTTTAAACTTCTAAATAAGGACACTTCTCTCCATGAGACAAGAAAACTCTTTTTTAAAATTTACTTTATTTTTTAATAGACTGCCTTTCAGGGCAGTTTTAAGTTCATAGCAAAATTGAGAGAAAGGTACAGAGACTTCCCCCATACCACCTCCTCCCACATATGCTAGCAACCCCCATTGTAAACTTCCCCCAGGAGAGTGATGCATTTATTACAACTGTTGAAACTACAATGACATGTCATTTTCACCCTAATTCCATACTTTACCTTAGGGTCCACTCTTGGAATTGTACACTCTATGGGTTTTGACAAATGTATAATGACATCCACCATTACAGTGTCATACAGAGTAGTTTCACTGCATTAAAAACCCTTTGTTATGCCTATTAATACCTCTCCCCCTCCATAACCACTCAGTTCAGTTCAGTTCAGTCACTCAGTCATGTCCATCTCTTGGCGACCTCATGGACTGCAGCACACCAGGTTTCCCTGTCCATCATCAATGCCTGGAGCCTGCTCAAACTCATGTCCATTGAGACAGTGATGCCATCCAACCATCTCATCCTCTTTCACCCCCTTCTCCTGCCTTCAATCTTTCCCAGCATCAGGGCCTTTTCCAGTGAGTCAGTTCTTCACATCACGTGGCCAAAGTATGGGAGTTTCAGCTTCAGCGTCAGTCCTTCCAATGAATATTCAGGATTGATTTCCCTTAGGATTGACTGGTTTGATCTCCTTGCTGTTTGGGACTCTCAAGATTCTTCTCCAACACCACAGTTCAAAAGCATCAGTTCTTTGGCACTGAGCTTTCTTTACAGTCCAACTCTCACATCCATTCAGGACTACTGGAAAAACTATAGCTTTGACTAGACAAACCTTTGTTGGCAAAGTAATGTCTCTGCTTTTTAATATGTTGTCTGCTGCTGCTACTGCTGCTAAGTCGCTTCAGTCGTGTTCGACTATGTGCGACCCCATAGACAGCAGCCCACTAGGCTCCCCCATCCCTGGGATTCTCCATGCAAGAACACTAGAATGGGTTTCCATTTCTTTCTCCAATGCATGAAAGTGAAAAGTGAAAGTGAAGTTGCTCAGTTGTGTCCGACTCTTAGCAACCCCATGGACTGTAGCCTACCATGCTCCTCTGTCCATGGAATTTTCCAGGAAAGAGAACTGGAGTGGGTATGCTGTCTAGGTGGGTCATAACTTTTCTTCCAAGGTGCAAGTGTCTTTTAATTTCACAGCTACAGTCACCATCTGCAGTAATTTTGGAGCCCAAAAAATAGTCTGTCACTGTTTCCATTGTTTCCCCATCTATTTGCCATGAAGTGACAGGACGGGATGCCATGATCTTAGTTTTTGAATGCTGAGTTTTAAGATAGCTTTTTCACTTTCCTCTTTCACTTTCATCACTTTCCTCTTCACTTTCTGCCATAATGGTGGTGTCACTGCATATCCAAGGTTACTGATATTTCTCCTGGCAATCTTGATTCCAGCTTGTGCTTCATCCACCTGGCATTTTGCATGATGTACTCTGCATGTAAGTTAAATAAGCAGGGTGATAATATATAGCCTTGATGACTAGCAACCATTGATATTTTTAGTTTCCCTAGTTTTGCTTTTCCCAAAATGTCATACTATTGGGTTGGCATCATTGAGTGCATAACTTTTCACACTAGTATCTTTCACTTAGTAATACATGTTTAATTCCCCTATACCTTTTCATGGCTTGATTGTTAATTTAGTTTTAAGCACTGAATATAATTCCATTATCTGAATATATCAGAGTTTATCCATTTACCTACTGAAGGCCATCTTGGATGCTTCCAAATGTTGACAATGATGAATAAGCTACTGCAGACATTTGTGTGAAGGTTTTCACGTGGACATAAATGTTCTGCTTCTTTTACTAGATATCAAGGAGCAGGTCCCCTTGATGGTACAGTGAGAGTATGTTTATTTTTGTAAGAAACCACCAACTTGTCTTGCAAAGTGGCTATTTCCATTTTGCACTCCCACCAGAAATGAACAAGAGTTCCCATGGCTCCACATCCTCCCAGAAGTTGTCAGTGATCTGAATTTTGGCCATTCTACTAGCCGTTCTACCAGGTGTTTAGTGATAGAAAATTTATTTTCTTTCTTTTTTTTTTTTTTAGAAAAATGTATTTTCATTAAAGTTGTATTCTGTACTTACCCTGCGTTGGTCTTTTTGCTGGGCTCAGTTTATCCATGCTATTCCATATCTCACTCCACAAGTAAAAATCACCTCATAATATGCCAAAAATCTAAATATAAAAAGCTAAAACACTAAAATTTCCAGAAGAAAATATAGGTGAAAAGTCTTTGCTTTGTAAGTTGTGTCCTTGCTCAATGAAATTGCATGGAAAAAAATCAGATTACTATTCTGCACACCAGTCCTTCTTTAAGAAGAAGATTGTCCCCATGTACCACCTGTAGCTGTCCCAACTATGTGTACGCTGCTTTTCACCTTCTGTAAGCTGACAGTCAGGAGCCATATAACTGAGTGCTACAGAAAGGCAAATGTGAAGTGGTACATTTTATCACTTAATTTAATGGATAGTTGTTTTCAGAGCAAGAGTGTTTAGGGTTTCTTTGACCTGTCTGAGAAGTGAATAGGATAAGGAGGACCAGTGATCTACAGTATCCTTCCCCACTGGCTCTCATTCATCTATGGAATCTTGCATGTCTTTCACCTCTCGTAATAATTTATTCATCTCATCCCTACCCAGCAGATTGACAGGACAGTGGTTAGAAAAGTTTAAATAACTTAAGAGTTATTGTAGAAAATAGGTCAGGTCTTTTGAAAGTATCTCTGATTGAAACTTTCACATTTGGTCTCTCTTGTTGTTTTTGAATTTCCTAGAGATTCATTCTTAAATATTCTAAACCTTGCCATTCTTTTATCTATAATCATCTATTATGATTCAGGGGCCTGTTAATGTGGTGGTGAGATTAGTGGGAGGGGATGCATTCTTTAAATCTGTGATTTTTTTTAACTGCAACATGAGAGGATTTGATGAGACTCTCTAAGCAGTTTCACATTCTTTACCAAACTATGACACAGATTCTGACTCTCTGGTTTGTTTTTCTGATGTTTTGTAGAGTGTATGGATCCAGTTTCCTAGCGTAATATGTGGAGGCTTTTAGCAGTATTAGCATACCAGGATCTTATTAGAAATGCATTTGTCAGTCTCTATTTTAGAATTACTAAATCAGAGATGCTGAGGTGGGGTCTTGCTATCTGTTTTTAATAAGCCCTCTAGGGGATTGAGATGTAGCTGAAGTTTAAGAATGAGTATCCTAGAAACTCTCTTGACTCTGTGATAGGATAGAATCAATTAATTGCTCTGGATGCTTGTAGCACTTCCAGCTCTTTCTCACATATATGAAGTAATAGACCTGGGCAGTGTGCAAATTGGATCAGAAATCACCTCTAGTTCCATAAACAGAATTAAAACCATTGAACCTAGAATTGTGAAATCAGATGATTTATTACATGAAATTCATTTCATACTTAAAAACCTATTGTGTAATTTTCCTTACTCATTAGCAACTCCAGAATGATCATGTTACTTTAAATAATTACACATTATGTGAATCGAAATGTCATTCAACCCCCATCCCTAGTTCTCATTGATTTCATCTGTTAACAGAAGAGATATCAATAGAAACTTTTAACTGTAATTCCTTTAGACTTTTAGCTAAAATCCTGTAATTCAGACATTGAGACATAATTTAATACTAGGAACATTAGAATATTTAGCATTATATGTAACATGTAATAGAGGATTTGTATTACTCTCATGTTTTTACTTTGGATTGTTTTAGCAATCCAAACACATATCCTTTGAAGTTCCTTAAAGATTGTATTTTCATGAGAGTCTATTTAGGGTAACACAAGTAGGTTTTACTTTTATGAAAAAATTTAATAATGATTTTTGTGACCCTGTTCTTTGAACACAGCACTATTCAATCAAGCATACAAATGTTCTTGCTATTGGTAAGCCTCAGTAGTTAAAACCACTTCCCAGGAGGATCTATAAATAAAAGATTTCTCTGTTTCCTTATTTGAAAACACCCGACTTGAAAAAGAAGATCTGTTGGCCCTTTTTTCCCTAAGAAACTTTCTACCATGAAGATTCATCTCTTTTTCTTTATTCTACTCTTTGGGGTCACAATTCTACCAGGTAACATAGAAATGGTTATGGGCATACTTGTGCTAATGAATCTGAGGAAGCATCAGTTTTTCCTTGTTAAGCTTATAGTAATAATATAAGGATTAAAATATTGTTATGGTAATGCAATGTGGTACTCTGAATTGAACACTGGAACATTAAAAAAGGCAATAGTGGGAAAACTAGTGAAATATGAATAAAATATGTAGTTTAACAGTATTACAGCAATATTAATTTTTTAGTTTTCATAAACGTATCATGGATAAGTGAGATATTACCCCAAGGGAAGTTGGTCTCTCTTCTCTTTGCAACTCTTCCATAAATCTAAAATGATTTCAAAATTGCAAGATCAATTCATTAGCCTCATCACCTTCATCCTGAAACAGAGTCAATTCTTGCTGAAAAACATATTCTTTGACATAATCAACTGGTAAGTGGTAGATGCTGCAGTATTAGAGAGAGAACTATTTACCTTTTTCTTCTTTTTAAGCTATTTCAGTCTACTTCCAGTATAGGAAGACTTTCTTAATATTCCGTCCTTGGTACTACAGGCAAATCATGTCCCTCGTTGGCCTTTCAGATCACATGAATGTTGAGTGTAATAACTTGTACATGAGCTATATTTTTCATGAGATTTTCCCCCTCAAGGATTATCTCTTCACATCAGGTATGTTACAAGATTCTCTTCCCCTGAATTAATGTGTAAGTATGAATTGTACAGAAATAAAATAGCAAGTTTTGGAGATGGAGAGATCATTGAGTTTTCCCTTCTCCTTAAAGAGTTTAGTTTAACGTGAAAGAGTAAGCTCAAATCTTCCCAATTTATGCTACTGGCACTGAAATTAGGCTCAATTCACTCTCTGGGGAAATATTCTTTTGTAGTAAGAAGCTGACATTTTTAGGACAAGTGGAAATTGTAATAGAGACGTACGAGAATGAATTAACTTATTCTTTCTTTATGAATATTATAAAGTCCATTGTGACAGTTTTCATTTTTGTCATTTCATAAAAAATTTTCACATAATAAACTGATAAATTATCTTTTAAAGGTTGTAAGTGAGAAAGTTCTATATAGGGGCAAAACATCAGGAAAGTGACAAAATAATACAATCAATTGTTAATTTAACTAAGGAAATAACTTCTACATCCATTCAAAACTTGTTAGAAAAAGGATCTCTGAATTTTTTCCATATCTCGAAGGGACCAAAAGGAAATTCTACACAGATTCATATAGCTTTTAACATGGGATAAATCTTTTTAAATTTCTTCTTTTAATTTCAACATTAGCTAAAATTAGTAGATCACTATGGCAAGTGTTTTTATGTTTTATTGGCTTAATTTTTCCTTATAACAGCTATATCAGGTGCTCCTAATAATGGCTAATATTATTCATTAGTTTACCAACAAATTTTAAATTATGTGTCAGTAGACTTAGAAATTATATACCACTTGAGGAGATACAGTGGTATAGATTACAATATCAGTGATACTAACTTTTTGTATATTTTTTTCTTGTAGTTTCAAAGTGAGGCCATTATATAGTTAATCACATACATACCAAACTTTTAGATAAATTCTATCATTAGTGATAAAAATATAAAAGAAATATATCAAGATACATATTTTCTTCATAAAATTAGAAAATGTATATGTGAAAATTAGATACTTTTAGACAATAATAAAGCAATAAGAATGTTTTCTTTCACCTTGTAGTTAACCAACATACGGTGGCTGAACTAAACTGGATAAAATTAAATGTCTTATATATGACTCTGGAGTTCCTCAGTTGTTTCTTTTGTATATCACCTTCAGATGGTGAAAATTTTCACTCAAAGTCGAGACAGAAAAACTCATTATTTTCCACTCCAACAGTTACAGATGAAAAAGTGTTTAGAAAAAAAATCCATACATTTTCCATGCAAAAAAATTTCCACTGAAGTCACTTAGCTTTCCTCTTCATTTTCTAGAGGTTATAAAGGCTCAAGTTCAAATCTCTGTTATTGATAACAATGACTTTTCTTTAAGTCTGCCATGTACTTTGGCTATAGGACAGTATAGCTTTGTACAAAAAACGGTAATCATGATTTTCCCCCTGTTTTCAAGAAGGTTAATGATAGTCTAAGAAATTAGATAGCAAGTCCGTGAAAACAAAAACAAATTATGTGTTGAACAGATGCTTTAGGAGATGCCATGCATGTCTTTATAACTTAAAATATTAAGTAGAGTTTTATATATTGTTTAAAGAAATTCCTTAACATGTGAAAATGCTCTAGATGCCAGATGAATGACGCTATGAAGAATTTGTGAGAGCAATAGAGAGATGACTTTCCTGAAGGTGATCTACAGAAATTTCAGAGAGAAGATAGTATTTGAACAGTGTCTCTGAGGACAGAGACATTGTACGTTTGGCTTATCACCACATTGCTAGAACAGTGATCTTCTTTCCTTTTTATTCCCAAGGACATACGGATTTATTTATTTATTTTTCATTGGAATTTAGTTGCTTTACAATGCTGTGTCAGTTTCTGCTCTATAGCAAAGTGAATCCTAACGCATATACATGTACCCCGCCTTGTCACTACGGAGCACTGAGTTCCCTGTGACACACAGCAGGTTCTCACTAGTTATCTCTTTTATACAAAGTGGTGTAAATGTGTCCACCCAATCTCCCAGTTCATCATCTCCCCTTTCCCTCCTTGGTGTTCGCAGGTTTGTTCTCTATGTAGAACAGTGGTTTCCAATGAGAGGCAGCTTTGCCGCCAAGGAGACATTAGGCAGTGTCTGGAGACCTTTTAGTTTGTACTCCTGGTATTACTGGCATCTAATGGGTTGAGGCCAAGGATACTGCTAAATATCCTTCACTGAATAGGATCACATCCCACAGCAAAGAAGTGTCCAAAGGGTCCATAGTTCTTAGGATGAGAAATCCTGCCCTGGGTGTTGTCACAGAGTTTGACAGGAAGTGAACTTAACAGTTGAATGAATAGATGGATGCTTGCAAAGATGAGTATTAGTGACCCAGGGATACAGGCTTGGGGAATACTCATATTTAGAGGTGAGAATCAGGAAAAAGAAAACAATAGTATTTTTAGAAAAGTTAAATAAAACAAGGGAAAGTAAGGGATGTGGTCATTTTAGGATGGCATATTGGACAATGGGGTTAAATGTGACAGAAATCTTGTCAAAATGAGTGTGATTCAAGTTTATATCACTGGCAAATCATTTATGGGCTTGATAATAATAACTCCCCTAAAATTATGGAATGAATAGTGATATTTAGAAGTTAGTCTTTAAACTGTGCAGAGTAACTTTTTTGACTATAAATTGTGTCATAGTCTGCATTGCTTCAGTAATAGTGAGAAGACAGCTAATTTTTAATAGAAGAGGTAGGTTTTATGCCAACCATATATACCAAAAATATGGATAAAGAATTTCTAAGTCTATGGACCCATTAATAAGTATCACCACTCACCACCAACTGTTGGAAATATAGACAGAATATCTAGACAGAAAGGCATGGGCTTTAAAGGAATTATTGGACACCAAACCTTAATTAAAGACAGAAACTAGTGGCAAGATTTGTTTGCTTTCATACCATGAATATACAGTAAATATTTAAGTCTGACCTTAAAATTTAGGATTCTCCCATGCTATTTCTCCTTAATCTCATTGTATTTTAAGGTGCATGCCTATCAAAAGTGATGTTAATGTTTTAAAAGTCTCCAGAATAAAGGGCTTCTGAAAGTACGTGGGTTAGCAGATAAGATGAAATATGAAATTAAAATAGATTGACTTAGAATAGATATTGGAGGCTATCAGTCCAGCATCTCTCAATTCCCTGAGTACTCCCAACTATCCTAAATAATCAACTTCTAGTGAGAGTCAACCTCCAAACTACAAGATAAAACATGGAGCTTGGAGCACTAGTAATTTTAAAAATCATTTTATGGCCAAAAATGGACCCATCTTTTTGTCTCTCTTCTTTTTTAAAAAATAAATGCTGACACTAAACATATGTATAAGTTCACTTCTTTGGGGGGAAGTAAATCTCAAGATACACAAGAGAGTTGTAGAAATTCAGACAAACTGTCTAACATTGCGTCTCCTTCCATTAAAAAAAAAAAAGTGAAACCAAGCTGCAATAGAAATCTCTAGTAGAAGAATTCACAAAGCACAATTACTGTGCTTTGCTCCATCATGTTCAGTCTAAATGTGTGTGAGAGTAAGAGATAAATTATGTGGACTTTTACTGTTACCTGGAACTATCCTACTGTTGCTATTCAGTCACTTGTAAAAAAGCAAGTTGGCCCACCTAACTGCAGTCCAAGACACTTTCTGATATCCAGGATTTACCTTGCATCAAAGGACAGTGCATTCACTTAAACTTCCTCAGTAAGATTTTCACAGTCATAAGTTAGAAGGAGGTTTCTTTTTCTGTCCTATTCTATGCTCTTTTGCAGGCTTTCCTGGTGGTTCAGATGGTAAAGAGTCTGCCTGCAATGCAGGAGAGCCAAGTTCAATCCCTGGGTAGGGAATATACCCTAGAGAAGGGAATGGCCACCCACTCCAGTATTCTTGCCTGGGGAATTCCATGGACAAAGAACCTGGCGAGACAGGCCTACAGGGTCATGACACAACCCCATGTCGAACACAACTGAGTGAATTCCACATCACGTGCTCTTTGGCTTCTCAGATATTTTCCTTTTATTTTTTTTTTCCATTTATTTTTATTAGTTGGAGGCTAATTACTTTACAACATTGCAGTGGTTTTGGTCATACATTGAAATGAATTAGCCAGATATTTTCCTTTGAAAATATTTGTGTCATAGTTAGATTGCTAATTTCAGTCACTGTTTCCTTCTTACAGCAAGAAAAAAATTTCCACAGTATGGTAGCGTGGATATGAGGAGAGAGTGCGTAAAGGGTAACGGTCGATGTAAAAATCAGTGCCATGCATCTGAAGTTAGGATTGCTTACTGCATAAGACCTGGATCTCTTTGCTGCTTGCAGAAGTAAAGATGACAGAAGAAAAGAGAGAGACACATGCTCCAAGAAGAAGGGACCAGTGTTACTGTCTTCCTTCACAGCCTTTCTGTACATCCTTCCAGGCCTGTGTATCACTATTGTGTGCAAAGAATTAAATAAAATTTAATAATGAACCATTCAGAAGTGGTTCTATGTCACACACACATCTGGTGCCTTTTATTTTCTCATGATCTCTTGGTACCAGAAACAAGCATGATTTATTTTATGCAAGTTCTTCAAGAACTATTCACATTTCTATATGCCCTGTGCTATTTGGCATAAACAATGTTGGAAGAAACCCTAGGTCAGAGGTAGTAACCCATCTAATTTCTGAGATACATGCCTCCATGGAGATGTGCTGTTATTTTATGAAACACTGTTTATAGACTATCCCATGGAAAGAAGTATAAATCCACTGAATGTGTGAGGTAAGACACTGAGATACAGATCTCTCAAGTGTCTCCTGAGAGAGACAGAGGTGCAGTGAGAGAATGGGAGAGTGTAAGAACAGAAGAGCGGAGGAAAGTCCCAATCACTCCAGTGTCTACCCATTTGTTTATATAGTGAAGAAAAAAAATCTGTATCAGGAGAAAGAAGAGGGAGTGTGAAGGGAAGAAAATAATTTCATAAAAGAGAATTCTGACCTAGGAAGTCAGAAACTATGACTAACAGCTGAACTCAGCTCCTCCATCCTGAGAGGTGAGCCTGTCTGAGGAGACACAGGCCACACATGGAAGGAGGCGGGATCTTCCGCCTTCAGCTCCACTCTGCCAGACTTCCTCTCATTACCTCCTCTGAAGCTCCAACAGTAGTTTTCCCCACAGTCCTCTCAACAATGCATACATATCATACATTTTCTACTCAAAACATGCAAATTCGTCTTCTTTTATGATTTTAGGAATACAATTTAGTAAATCGTATCAACTCAGAATTGTTTTTAAAAGAAATCATCAATACCACAACAGAATAAGAAAACAGAAATTTCCCTTCCTCCTAAAATAAATAATTCTTTGATCATTCAACTAAAGAAAAAAGAAATCTATTGAGCAGAGACTTTTGTACCGGACTTGGACTCAGAAGGATACAAGTATTTCCAGGCCCCAGCTACTCTCTTGATATTTTTACCATTGTGTCTCCTCCCATATTCTAAATACAAATATGAGATCTAAGGGTCTACGTGCATACTGAACATTATCTATTACTGGAAATGCATGGAAAAATCATTTTTCCCTATTTAGATAAAATTTCTAGATATATTTCTTCCACAAGAGACTGTTTAATTTTTAGTTTCAATTTTATTTTAAAGTTGAATTTATTTTTTAAAAATAATTATTTGAATAAACATGAGCTCTCATTGAAAGTGAAAGCTGCTTAGTCATGTCTGACTCTTTGTGACCCCGTGGACTATACAGTCCATGGAACTCTCCAGGCCAGAATACTGGAGTGGGTAGCCATTCCCTTCTACAGGGGGTCTTCCCAACCCAGAGATCAAACCCAGGTCTCCCACATTGCAGGCAGATTCTTTACCAACTGAGCCACAAGGGAAGCTCAGCCACAAGGGAATACTGGAGTGTATAGCCTATCCCTTCTCCAGCGGATCTTCCAGGTCCAGGAATTGAACCACAGTCTCCTGCATTCCAGGCAATTCTTTACCAGCTGAGCCATCAGGGAAGCCCACGAGCTCCCATTAGGAAACAGTTATTCGCTGGGCATACATTAGAGGCTTACCTGCACTCTTTCACATTTTAATAACTTAAAATAGACTTTGTTTAATGTGTTGCCTTCTAGTGTAAATATCTTCAAAAGTATTTTTACAACATTCATTTCAAAAGACTTTCTCAACCTTAGCACTATTGATATTTTAGTTCAGACAATTCTTTGTTGTGGCAGCTGTCCTGCACTCTGCCTTTAGCAGCAAGATTTTTCTCCCCACCCCAAGCCTCTATCAATCAGATGCCGATAGCACCCTTTCCCCTTAATCATGACAACCAAAAATGTCTATCTACATTGTTAAATATCTCCTTTAGGGGGCAAAACCTCTCATGGTTTAGAGTCATTTGTTTATAATTAAGCACTCTTTCTCACAGATATGTAAAGATATAAATGGAAATAAAAAAACCAGCAGTGTTTTCAGATAACCAATAAACTTCCCATGTTTTATGAGATCAAATATCTACTTTTTTATGAAAACAAATATCTGTTTTTATGAGAACAAATTAGATATTTGTGAGAACAAGTATCTATTAATGATTTCTTTTAAAAAGAATGCTATTACAAATGAGTTAGAGATGATGATACATTGATGACTCCAGAAAAAAAATTAGCCTAACTTTTGAATAGTACATGTATCAGCCACATGAAGGAGGATATTAGTAAAATTAAATGCTTGAGGTGAAAGTTTGAGTATTATTTACCACCAGATACTGGGTCATCATTACCTCAAGACCTGTAAAATAGAATTGAGAAGCCTAATACACTACTAATATGCAACAAATAAGAATTGAGTTTTTTAGTGACTAGCAAGAAATGTTAGATGGTGAAAGGTTCCTTAGAAGACGTTTGAGGCATTTCTGAACATGCATTAGTCTCTGCTAGTAGAACTTCCATCTTTCAGTTCTTGATAGAGAAAACCAAAACCATCTAAAGTTTTTATTTGGTCTCTCCTTGTCTAAATCAGTGTATATTCGAGCTGCCAGCCTCCACACAAATGTGATAATCTTGAAGAAGGTAAACCCATGCATATCAAGTATGAAATTAATATTCTTCCTTGCAGAAATCTTTTGTGTATGATATAAACTGAAAATTCTTTAGAATTTAATGAAGTTCTGCAGTCAGAAAAGAAAGAGATGTCACAGATTAGTCATATTGTCTTCAGAATTTATTAGCAAAAAAGAAAAAAGCAAAAATGCTTATAAATGGGAAGATTTCTGGTACCTTTCTTGCTCATGTACTGTAATTTTCATTACATTTACGGACCAAACAGCTAAATAATCTTAAATTAGTTAGCTCTCAAGAGCTGAAAGTTTACACTTTCTGCTCCTTTGGCCCAGAATCTAAATTTCCACGACATTATATATTTCCCTTTATTTTTAGTTTCCCGTAAGTCTCAGTTGGCCTTGATGAAATAGACACCACAGGGTATCGGATACTTTTGCTGTTATTCAGTAGCTCAATGACACTTAATCAGTTAAAGGCATCATGTTGAAAACATGAAATTCAAGGGCAGGACTAGGAAAAGAAGAATTACCATCCAGTCCTGATATCATGCATTCAAACCCAATCTATCTCAGAATTTATTTCACCTCAGTGTCCTTGGGCAAGAACAAAATCTAATTCCAATTAGTGATTTATTTAGACAGCATCTGATTAATGACTTGTTTCTTCCCAGGTATGATGTCATGGGTTTTAGATTTGAAGATTAAAAAAATTACAGCTTCTGTCTTAAGGCACTCATTTATTGTTTATAAACTTGAGTTTTAAGTAGTATTCAATTTTATGAATAGCACAGGGGATCTGCCCCCAAGAAGATCAACATCAACTCATAATACTGACAATAAGTGAGTTAGATTCTGCCTTCTTCACCCCCTCATTTGTTTACCAATTCAATGAATACTAGTTGAGAACCTACTGTGTGTCAGCCTTAATGTGATAAGATTGGGACACATCAATAAACAACACAAAAATCCCTAGATTTGTGGAGCCATATTTTAGAGGTAGAGAAAAATACAAACAGTACACATAATATATAAGCAAATTATATTAGAAGGTAATAAATTAAACAGAGGTAGGGACCCCAAAAGGATGTTGGGCTGTAGTAATTTAAAAGGGTTTTTCAGGGGTCCCTTATTAAGAAGTTGAAATTACAGCAAAAAAAATGAAAAAGGCAAAGATGTGATCATAGGAACATACCTGAGATTTGTGAGCAATGCCAGTGAGGCAAGGGTGGCTGGGCAAGAGTGACTTAGGAGGAGAGTCCTGGGTGAGCTGGTCAGAAGGGAAATGTACATACAGATTGGTCGGAGCCTTGCAGGAACTAGAGAGGATCTTGCCTTCTGTTCTGAGAGAAAGCCAGTGGATTTTAGCCAGAGGAAAAACATTCGTTGAATTGTGTTTTAAAAAGACATCTCCGAAGTGCTTTCATGATTAGGAGATATTGAAATAATATGGTAATATATAATGATAGCTTGGTCCAGGGTGGTAAACCCCCCCCCCAAAAAAGTGAGGAATTATGGATATGTTAAAAGTAGAGTTAGTCAAATTTTAAGAGTTTTTTTTTTTCCTTTAAGCTATTTTCTAATCTTTCTATTCTTGACCAAAATTCTTAAAAAGCAGCCCAGACTCATAGCCTCCACGTTGTCAAATCTTATATACTCTTCTCTCCAATACATTTACCTGTATCAATTAACTGAAAATCTTCTTGTTAATGTTATAAATGTCTTCTTAAAAGCAAATCCAAAGGCCTGTTTTAATTCTTCATCTTGCTGGAATTCTACATGTGGCTGGAATTGGTCACCATATTGACAATCATTAACTGACTTCCTCATTTTATTTTATTTTTTCATTTTTTTAAATTTATTTTTATTAGTTGGAGGCTAATTGCTCTACTCTACGGCCATACCACCCTGAATGTGCCCGATCTCAATCTGACGTCCCCATTTTAATAGTCTTTTGGATGCTGTGGCCTCTAGCATTTCATCCCTGAGTATCCTTTCTTCTTGTTTTCCCAAGATTATCTTGTTTATTACATTGACTTCTTCTATCAAAAAGTATTTTTCTCAATATCTTTCACAAACCACAGAACTGTATTTGTTACCAGCTTGGGACTTATATATTTTGCTGGTTTCCAAAGTTTTTAATCTTGATATATCTGAGCAAAAAACCATCTTAAAGACATTAACTTTCTTCTAAAAATTCCTTTAAAATACTAGACTTAACGGTTAGAATATATAACTGACAGACCAAGACTGGTCTAGTGAATTTCCAGCTCATAAGAAGGAACACTGCTCAAACTTTCCAGGTTCATTAAGGTCTGATCTATGTTTAAAGATCACCTCTAAAACTGAGCAGGATATCACAAGAAAC